GTGACAACCTCTCTTTAACTGTTACGTTTACACGCTGCGATTTGCCGTGTACGATTCGTATTCTGGCGTATGAAATTTACTGCTGACACCACAATTCCTCTTCACTCAGAATATGGCGAAATTAGAAATGCAACAAATACGAATCGTACACGACAAATCGCAGCGTGTAAAGGCTAGTTTCGACTCAGGAAAATTATCCGTAGATTGGAACGGACAAGAAAATTTTCCTTTGTGTTAAAGTCATTAGTTCCAACCCACAGCTCACAATACAAAGAAAACTTTCTTGTCCGTTCCAATCCACGGATAATTTTCCAGAGTGGAAACTAGCCTTAAATGCGCTTGCTAAGAACATGTTTAGTCCAACTAGAAAAACCAATTACGCTGAAATGAATAAATAGTGAGACCTAAATGGTTGGAACAGTCCCCAATTGCCAGGCATTCGGCACACTAGCCAGGCATTCGGCACATTAGCCAGGCATTCGGCACATTATTGAATTCCAGTCGGGAAATTGTTTTCGTAGTCGGCAAAACTTGAATTGGATAGGATCATAGGCAAGAGAAAAACTGAAATATATGAGTAACACTGATTAAAAAATTAGTATTTATAGCGAAATGTTTGGAAAACGTTACAAAAAAATGAAGGAAAAATTAACAACATTAAAATATTCCTCCCCCCCCCCCCCCCCCTCCTTGTTTGAGATGAATCGGCAAAATTGCACTTACACTCCTCCATTAAAACAGGGCTAGCAACGCCCCTGCCGTACCAAGGTCGTATACAGCAGTGTATAGCTTAAATTGCATAATCATAACCTGGAAAGTTCTTTGTAACAGTAGTTTTGAAATGATACAATAATGATTTTAGTAATCTGTACTTGATTACTGCAGTATTATCTTACCTTTATTTATGTGATTCTAACTGATTCTAACATGCAGTGGCTTTGCTATGTCAGAATCTTAAAAAAACCCCACTAAAATAAGAATTGCTACCACGCCTTGCCAGTTGCCACCCGGCCCCAGCCTCCATAACTATACCACTACCTAACATAGTGCAGGGTTTGAGATTTGCAGAATTCTACAAATTGACCAAAGGTTTGTAACTCAACATGTATCACATCATTCATACTGGTTATTACAATACAATACATTAGACATTAAATTCCTAGTGGAATATTCAGTGATACATCTATTACATCCAATTACAATATATAACAGAAATACTTGTGACTTATTTTTGACCATATTCCATTTACAGTTTACTGACAAGAATATACGTTGAAATTGACTGAATTGAGTGTGTACAAGTTTGTGAAGTGTACAGCATTAAGTTTATGTCTCATTCATGAGTCTATGTTTTGTTTTCAATCACCATGCACATGAAGTCCTCGTAACTAACGTTAATAACACCATTTTGGTTGGCATCCCGCCGACGGAAGGCATCGGTTAAAAGCCGAAGCATCACACAGCATTGAATGAAACTGTCTAGTTTCATACTTCGACGTGCCACTGTGTCGAACCTACATAATATGAAAAAAAGTTAAATACTTGTCAAATTGAAATATGTATTATTATATACATAGATACTGCATGGGTTTGCCAATGGATTTGCGTATGCGAAAACTCATTTTGCAATGCAGATTAGCCAGTGGTCTGCCTCCTCCACAGGCGTCTCTTGGTCTCTTACAGCGCGAACGCGAAAGGAAAGTAGATGAAAAGCAGATGGAAAAGCGGCGAGAGAATGGAAAAGCGGCGAGAGAATGGAAAAGCGGCGAGAGAATGGAAAAGCGGCGAGAGAATAATGTGGCTCACGTCTGGGTACGAGGCAGGCCAGTGGTGTAGTCTTAACAACGAGGGCTCACATGGGAGGCCTCGCGAGACATAATTTGTTTTATTCTAGGGTCTCCTAAAAACGATTTTCTGCATTTTAAGTGATGTTCCCATCATATTAAAACAAGAAGATACAATCACTATAGGGCTCATTAACCAGAATACCATGCATCCAGACCTGGATATAAAGAAACTAAAATAAGGGAAAAAATTGGAACAGTAGCTGCGTTTTAATTGTAGAATAATGCCAATCTTATTACATTAGGAAAAATTTGTTGTATTTCCAATATTATATACATATAGTATTATAATATAGTACAGTATATATTATAATATATAATACTATTTCAGTCTTGCGACACCACTGAGATTAGCCAATCCGAATGTGACACAAAAAGCTTCGTCCAATGAAATGATAGACGATGACGTATCTGTAATTCCAGGGGTTTCAGAATAAGCCGGCGGCCGGCGGAGTTCCGCCGGCTACTTGAACTTTTACCGCCGCCTACTTTTCGTCAGGTCACAGGAAAAATTTTATATACAAAAGTACAAGCGAACCAACACAATGTTTGTTATGTTCCAATTGGAATTCAAGTTGGCCTCGAATTTCCCTGAAATCAATTGAAGGCAATGGCGTTAAAAATTGCCGTAGAACGTAACAGCTGTCTACGGCAATTTTGTGAGTTTCCACGGCATTTTTGTTTTCAAATTGCTGTAATAAAAATTTAACTTTATTGTACAGACTTTGGATTGCTGACAAGCTAGAAACATGCCAGTTTACGTATTTCTTTAGTGTTTTTTTTTTCGAACAAAACTGAGACTAAAATAGTAATTTACGGATGATTTGATCAACATCTGAATTCAAGTATCAAAATAGTAATGCACAGTGAACATGAGTTTAAAAATACTATACGGCAAAAAATTGCCGTCATTGCCGCAATGATCCACAGCATTTTGTTCTCCCTCTACAGTAATTGCCGTGAAAAAATTCAAGCCCTGAATTCAAGCAAAACATCACTTCTTTTGGAAGATCAATAAGATAAATTATAATACATAGTACCAAACATAGCAAAAGAAAGAAGAAGTGGTGAAGTGAAGTTCATTACGTACATAAATATAACATCATTTGATTAATGATTTCGGACTCATAAAATAATTACTATTATTGTAGTGTACATTGTCATTCTGTTCATGCAGCTGTAAAAATTAAACTATAAGTAGTACATTAAAGTACATTGTCACTTACAAGTATAAGGGGCGGACCATTTGATTTTTAAGGGGGGGGGTTGAAAGATTTCGGAAAAAACATTCATGCAATCCAAGGAGAAAGAAAAAAAATCATGCAACATACAATCGAGGAAAAAATATATCATGCAAAAGAAAGCGCTCAAAAAAAAAATTCCTGCATGTAAATCTACTGACGTTCTTCACTTCAGTATTGTGTCCACATGCTTGCAAGATTTTGCATTTTTGAGCAGGCACATTTGCTAAAAAGAACATTGGGTGAACAGTGGACAACATCACAGGGATTCTGGCGCCTTTGGATTCAATAACATACGATAGCCAGTGGCGTTCCCTGGCAAAATTGTTGCCCCCCCCCCTGAGAAAATCTGGGCTTAAGATATGTACAAGTTTATAAGTTATTTAATGTACATATCTAATATGCATGGTAGAAAAAGTATTTTTGGATGGTTGAGTCTGTGTGCGTTTTTTGATAACATAGTTCCAAACTATTAAAGCTTCAAAGGCCGATCTACCGGATGCAAGTTGAACGTACTGTATATACGATGATTTTAATGCGAAAATTGGAATTTTAAACTGGAGTTTAGAGAGTCTAGATTTTAAAATATTTCTGAAGAGGATGCAACCCGATCCCCAACAAGCTATTTGTATGAGTATTGAACGATTGAAAAGCTACAGAGCTATATTTGGTGGAACATTGTTGTTTCGGAGGGCAGTTAAAAATCGCATTATTGAAATCTTGTTTTATTACATATTAATCAAAGCTCATTTTGTGATTTTCCCTTGTTTAAAATAAAGGACAGTGAGTGTTCCTTAGGCTTAGTACAGCAAAGTTGTTGCATGAATCCATGGCTGAAAACGCAGGAAATAGCATTTCTGAGGTTCAAATTTTAAATTTTTCTAGGGGGAGCATGTCCCCGAACCCCCCAAGGTTACAGATCATTCATATACTGTACCTCCCCCAGTCTACTCTACTCTATCCCTGCATGCTTTAGGTTTTGGTGCAGTTATACATTTTTTGTAAGTAAACCTGCACGCTTTAGTGTGGGGAACATTAAGACATAACCATATAAAATAAAGCACAGTGAAAATTCCTTAGCCCCTCTTGGGATTCAGGCTCGGCCTCCTCTGACTGAAAACCCTGGCTAACGTCTCTGACGATAGCTACATGAAAGCCTTAAGTTACTGTAAGCAGTTATTATGAGGGGCAAAAAAAAATATCCTGGCGCGAAATATATTGGGAAAAAATATCTTGCGCTGCACTTTACAGGAAAAAATATCTGTCTTATTCCCCTGGGCGGAAAAAAATTCTTACACAGACTGAATCTTCCAACCCCCCCTCCCTCAAAAATCAAATGGTCCGCCCCTAAACGCAAATGACATCTAAATCTAACATGTTAATAGTTGTACTTTGTCTTTTTACGTATTCTATATTATTTGATTGTTAATTTGCGGCGAAAATTTTTTAAATTTTAATGCGAGGGCACGCTCCCCTCCACGCGCGATTTTTTAACTATCAGTCACAGCCGGCTACTTTTTTGGTACAACCGCCTACTTCAAATCATTCTGAAACCCCTGGTAATTCACTCGTGACCGAAATGTTCCCACCCTTAGGCAATTGGACTTTATTTTTGATCGACGCTTGAACGTAAATTCTTAATATTTAGCGGCTTATATTTTTTTTTTGTCGTTTGAATGAATTCTATGCCTTTTGGGCAAGGTTAATGGTAGGTTAATGTTATTTTATTGAAATTGTCCAAGAATGCCTAAGTCTTTACAAATTTATATCGTAACTAGTCAACTAGTCACATAATTTACTAGTCACATTAAAAATGAAAAAACAAGTTATAGCGCCTGTCCTACATACATGTCTAAATGTAATAACTATGACTTCAATGCTCAGTAATTGTAATATAAACAAAACTTTTTCATGGGAAGTGCTTTTCTGTTGTATTTCAGGGTGTAAAATCCGCGTTTAACTAAAATCGGGAAAAAATAATTGAATATTTATAATATAACTATTTTTTGGCTGACCCAAATTGGGAAATTGCAACCACAAGGTACTTGGGAAAACCGTGTTTAACGCGAAATTTTTTACTGTAGCTAACACCCTGTATTTCCGTACATGTTAATTTTGTTTTCACAAAACTCGCTCGCTCATTGCATTCACTCGTTTTGTGAAAACACATTTTAAAACACTTGCGAAAACAGCACTTCCCATAGAGAAATCTCTATTTCTTGCGGAATCAGTTTTCAAGACGTTGGACAAACCAGAAAACATTGTTTCTACAACAGGGTCAGGGGAACAGATTCGAAAATCTTCAATTTAATTAGCTGGAAAAGCGAAATGTTGTTTCGAGAAACTGTTTCCATTTTTTCCAAGGGCTAGGCATTCACATATATGTCAATGGGGCAAGGCCGCTCAGAGATATTTGGCAAAATAGAACTTTTGGGCCAGAAGAATCGTGGCATTTTTCGCACTTCTACCAGATTAGTTCCATCACTGTCAGTAAGTAAGGGTGTACTAATCATTCTTACTTGCAGCATACAGCTGAGCTGAATTACAAAGGCGTTAGCTCAACCTGATCGAGTCAAAGTCTCAAAAAGGGCAACTCTGATAATTTTCCATTAATGGGTTTTTGAATGTAAAAACTGAACTCTTACCATTATTGGTTATTATAGATTTCCCATATGGTAAATTAGTATAAACTATGATGTTTTAATATTTACCATAATTATCTTGATGGTACTTGGAATAGAAAATACCATTAATGGCAAATATCATGGTTTTTACCATTTACCATATCGGAAATCTATAATATTATAACCAATAATGGTAAGAGTTCAATTTTTACATTGATAGTATACATGGTAAATCTTTAAAAAACATTCAAGTACCCACATCTCATGTCTGATCGTGGAGCACAACTATGATGGAAGGGGTCAGTTTTGGATTTATCCTGCCAACAAGTCAACATTGCTTGTGGGAGGAAACCAGACTACCAGAGAAACCCATTTAGGCAGAGTGCCAACTAACCTTGTTATCAAAAGGTGCACGAAATTTGGAGAAACTCTGTAACCCATGTCATTTAAAGCAGTCTGCAGTTCACTCATTTCGATAGCACCTGACCGATCTGTGTCGTAACGATCAAACACTCCTTTCCATTGCTGAATGTATGTCCAAAGGTTGCAGAATTCTGGGAAATCGATTGTTCCTGACTGGTCCTTGTCAAACATACCTTAAAGATTGAGTGAAAAGATGAATTCCTGTTTACACTGTCTGTACTGTACAAAATGTCCTTATTTTATTTGGTCAAAGCAAATATGTGGTATCAATGACAAAATACCATAATACCATTCCTATGTCTATGGTCATACGTATGTACAGCTGGCAAAAGTGGAACTGTTGGGTGTTAAATCCAATGGTCTGATACTCTGAATCTAATGCTAATTAATGTGTACCCATGCCCACAATAGACAAAATTATGTGCATGTATTAGTGATTAACTGATTATTTGACTCATACATAATTCTTAATGGTTAAAGGCACAGTTCAGCCTGTTGAACGATGGTTTTTAAGGCGCATTTCAGCCCTGTTAATTGAAAAAACTAACTAGGAAAATCAATTAAGCATAATTCAAAATC